TGTTTTTGTGTGTTTCTTGGTTTTTGGTTTTTGGTTTTATTTGAAACAGAGTCTCGCTCTGTCACCCAGGCTGGAGTGCAGTGATGCAATCTCAGCTCACTGCAACCTCCGCCTCCTGGGTTCAAGCGATTCTCCTGCCTCAGCCTGCCAAGTAGCTGGGATTACAGGTGTGTGCCACCATGCCTGGCTAATTTTTGTGTTTTTAGTAGAGATGGGGTTTCGCCATGTTGGCCAGGGTGGTCTTGAATTCCTGACCTCAGGTGATCTGCCCACCTCGGTCTCCCAAAGTGCTAGGATTATAGGCATGAGTCACTGCACCTAGCCCATGATTTGTTTTTAATAAAAACAGGGACTGGAGAGAGAAAACTTATGTTTCAAAAAACTATAGTACACCTGATGTTAGCTGTGCTTGACTTTTTCCAGCAGTTTGGCCTAAATTCTAAACTGTTGACAGGCTACAAGTTCCCAAACTAACGCTTTCAAATCTTTACTTTTAAAACTGGGAATTGCATTCCTTATTCTGGTACTCATTATTTACCTTATAGTATGCTGTTCTCTTAAATGTGGTACTAAAACTATAGTTGACAATAATAACACCTTTATCATGCAAGCCTTGTAATCTCAGCCAGGCCTGCATGAGTATGCTCTGACAGTTGCAAAGTGGTTCCACTCCTTTCACCTTGGGGTCAACACCTACCCCCACATGCCCCTGGTCAACAGGAAGAAGTTAGAATGGTCTTTGCCCTTTTTCTATCTTCATTAGCCAACACCTGAAGATGAGGCACTATAAAACCCAAAGGGTTTTTTGGGATTGAAATTGCCATTGCAAAATTATAACTGAGACAGTGAAAGAGAGCTGACATAACCAATTCCAACTTGCTTCTAACCTCCAAGCTGTCCTTGTTCATTCCTGGGTGCAGGCCCAACTAACTTTGGGAGGAACTTATAGTTTATAGGTTGAAACAAAGATGATAACAGCCCTTTCCCAAAACAAATCCCCTTCTTGCCTGGGGACTAGACTGATTTTATAGGACTAAGAAATTAGCCACAAAAGTATAAATCATGTTTTAGGAACCATGTAGCTAGAGGCTACAAAATTCTGACCCTCCCCGAATTGCTCCTGGGGGTAAAATCACTATTGTAAAGCCTAAGACCAGTGCTTGAGATATTTTGCAGACCCTGAACTTGATGGATCAGCTGGTACCACCCACATTGATAAACTGGCTCATCTGATCTTGTGGCCCCCAATCTGGGAACTGACTCAGCACAAGAAGACAGTTTCAACTCCCTATGATTTCACCTCTGACCTGACCAATCAGCACTCCTTGGTGGCTTCTCCTTGCCCACCAAGTTGTCTTTAAAAACTCTGATACCTGAATACTCAGGGAGACTGATATGAGTAATAATAAAACTCCAGTCTCCCACAAAATAAAATAAAATAAAATGCTTAAAGGGAAATCTAATTATTTAAGATTATGTTCAAACATTAAAGACTCCTTTAAAATGAGTGTTAAAATTTGCTAGACTTAGAATAACAAATTCACAAATTGAACCTAAAAATATAAGACAGGATTAAGCTTTTAAATTTTTATTACCAGAAATCCACTCTATCCACTGCAAATCTCTCGAAACACCCTTCCAAGCTTAAAGCAAACATCTCTCTTCCTTGCCATTAAGGGATATTCTCTTGTATTATTTCATGCCTATCCTCTATTCTCTCAATTTTCTCTACCTGGAATGCATATGAAACAGAATATAGAATTTCTAGATGTATTCTTCATGTGTATTAACTTTTCTTTCATACTTTTAATCTATCGTTTTCTTGTATTTTGGGAGAATTTCCCACTTCTCAGTGTTTATTTTTATTGTTCCCATAGCATACATTGACTTTTGCTTCACCTTATCAATCCACATCCAAGATACAATTAATACATCCTTTATTAATGAGCTTCTCTAGAAACAAAATGATGAGGAGTGTACCACGACCAAGCCTCCCATTTCAACAATAAGCTGGAAGTTAGTGCAATCAGAGGTTGCAGCTTCCCAAGCAAAGGAGATTGGAGAATTACAGAAATCACTAAGGAGGTGGTATCACATCAATAGCCAAAGTTGATATTGCTTAATAATCAGTCCCCACCCTTCACTTGTCTGTGTATACAGCCGCAGAGGCTTTCCATCCACAGGGTTTTGTGTGCTTTATAAAACGTCCTTCAGTCTTTCCTACATTAACACCTGCACTAGAAATCAAACACTGATTTATGTAAAGGTTTTCTCCACTTTGGTTATGACAAATGAAGCACAGGATACTCCAAGAAAGTTTGGCAAAAGCTCAGGAATTGAGATCCTAGGTTTTTGGAAGAATGGAGACAAAATACAAATATAAAGTAAGGGAGTAAACCTCCATCCCCATCTCTTCTTTGATAAGGTTTTCCTTTCAGAGCTAAAGGCTTTGGAAATATATAAACACTATAATGCCTGATAATGATAGAGAGGGATGTGCAGACGGTCAGGGGCTATTTTCCCCAGGGCAGTCAGAGGAGCACCTCTGGGAAAGGACCACCCTCAGGAGAGTGGTGCTTTCCCCCATCTGTCTTAGCCTGTTGCGTTGCTATAAAGGAATACACGAGGCTGGGTAATTTATAAGAAAAGATGTTTATTTGGCTCACTGTTCAGCAGGCTGTATAGGAAGCATGGCACCAGCATCAGCTTCTGGTGAGGAGCTCCAGCTGCTTCTACTCACAGTGGAAGGGGAAGGGGGGCTGGCATGTGCAGAGATCACATGGTGAGACAGGAAGCAAGAGAGGAAAGGGAGGTGCCCAGTCCTTTTCAACACCAGCTCTCAGGAAAACTCTCTGGGGAACTGAAAGAGTGCAAACTAAGAGGATGGCACCATGCCATTCATGAGGATCCACCCCCATGGCCTAAACGCCTCCCACTAGGCCCCACCTCCAACACTGATGACCAAATTTCAACATGAGACTTGAAGGAGACAAACAAATCATACGTAAGCCACAAAAGCACCCCGCCATTCTTTATTCTCCTTCCCAGCTTTATTTTTCTTCATATAACTTGTTATTGCCTCAAATTATAAAACTTATTTGTTGACTTTGTTATTGACTGTCAATTACATCCCATGGGAATGTAAGCTTGATGAAGACTGGGACTTTGGCTTAAGTATTGCTATAGAGTACCACTGTATTCCCAGTTTATTGAACACTGCTTGGCACATGGTAATTGCTTAATAAATATTCACTGGATGATTGATTCCATTGGTACCCAGGGGTTAAGTGTAGCCTGAAACTAATTTTTCTCATCCCATGATCTAGAGCTGAAAACCTTTCATATTTTTGTTATAAAATATTTTTCACGGTTTCAGAACATTTACTGAAACATACTTTTTTATAAACCAAAACCTTTACAAATTGTACTTATTGATCTAAGGTTTCCTAGCACGAGTGAAGAAAATATGACTGTCTCATTTTGGCTCAAGTTCACAGTTTGCTAATTTTTCATGTCATTCCATAAAAATGTGAGTCATAAACTACAAATCCAATAATGTAGCTATAAAGTTGTCATGATAGTGTTCCAATGTATGCTCATTAGAGGCAGATAGCCCTAGAGTATGGACGTAGCCCTGAACCAAATATTCCTCCTTTGAGAACTCGCTGAGTTGATTTTACTTGTAATCTCTGTGTGCAGACTACAGGAGTGGAAATTTCTGCTCTCTCACAAAGACTGTAGACTATTTGCACTTATAAGTTTTCAAATTTCCAGGCTTAATCTGGTTCATGTTAATTATTCCTGGTGTTTCTGCTCAGGCCTAGATACCAGTGATGCCAGCTTCACGTAACTGCTGCTGATCACTCGCTCACTCACGCCTTTGAAACCCAAGCTTGTCAAAATCATAGAATCTTGTGGGTCTAGCAAACAGCCCTGAGAGATAAGACATATATGGGACATAATGCCATGACTCCCAAGGACTGTGGCATGTGGGCGTTTTCATATGCCAGAAACATCCTAAGGTTCATGGCATTATTCAAGACAAACCTTTAGACACTCACATCTGCTCTTTTCAAACTTAAGTGACAAAATGAATGTGTCCAGTTCTGGGGCCTGAAGAATCTGCTCACCTGACTCTTCAATGTCACTGGGACACGTATGAGACTAGGCAGCCTTCTGGACTTGCCAGCGCTTCTGGGAAGCTAGGGAGCCTTCAGAACTTAGTTGACCACACTTCAGCTCCAGCTGTGCACAAGGCTGCCTCCTTTCCTCCAGGTTTGGGTCATCCCTCAAGGATTCGTGCAATCCTCCTTCCTTTTCTCTCACAGCAAATATAGGTCTTTGTAACGAACATTGTACTAAATTATTAGGTTGACATTGAAGAAAAGACATTGCTTTTCAATGGCAATAACCACAATTACTTTTGCACCAACCTAACAGCTTTCCACATGTTTCCATTTCTAGATTCATAAAGTGTGACGACCAGAAGAGCTCCATGGTTCATTCAATTCAATTCCTTACTTTAGAGAAAAGTACATGGTGATTGCCAGAGATCTAAAGCCTGGTTAATGGTAGAGCCAGAATCAGAAACAAGATTTCTTGACTCTCCACTGGGGGGCTACTTAGGTCACAGACTAGGTAAGGGGTTCGGACTTTTTACCCAAGCATTCCATAAAGGCTTTTCCTTGTTTTAACCTTTCACCTATTGTAACAGAGGGGATGGCATGGTGGCCACGCTATGGTGCATGATGACTTTTTTCTCTTATGGACAACACCCCAGTCCTCCTTTCCCAGTCTCTCATGGCTTTGCAACCATGTGTCCTAGAGATCATGCCTTTTATCTTCTCTAAAAGATCACACACCCCAGGAAGACTTCTGGCCTACATTCCCTGTGGAGGACTTAGGTGCTATAGTGATGTCTCACGAAAAAGAATTTCTGTGTCCTGCAGCTTCTTCTGCATGATATAAAGGAGGAGTATAGTAAATAACAAAAACAAAGATTTCAGGTGTCTGCACCAAAATACGTACATTCATTTATTTCTCATTGCAGCAACAAGATAAACAAGTGTAATTCCATGGTCAAGGAGTTACAAATAGTAGTAAGCTCAGTAACCTTGAGCATATCTATAAGGCAAATAAAACAAAATTTTTTTTTTTCGTAGTGTGGGCATCCAACTTTAGATAATCTGGAAAAAAGTCACTCTAGCCCCTGAATACCATGATATGCATGATGTGCAAAATGAAAGTATCACCCAAAACATTTTCAAAGCTAAAAATAAAATATTTAAATTCAAATACTTCAATCAAATTGGAAATACAAACAGTACACTGAGAGTCATCCTTAGCCAGCTGTTCTCCAACTAAAAGATCAAGAAGCAAAACCAAGAACAAAGACAATGTAAAAAAAGAAAAGGTTTCTCTAGAAAAACTGGAAGCTCATCAAAGTCACATTTCTTCTTCTGATTCTTGTTCTCGTTCAGCATTTTTCAGAAGTCCAACTTCTGAGGAGCAGAGCCTCTTAAGTCTAGATTTAACCAACCTGAGGAGAAAGAAAAGCATCTCAAGTGAGACAGTGTTTAAAATAGAAAGCCAGAGCAATATGCACCTATATACCACAATGTCTAGATTATTTGGGCAACTGGGGAAGGCAACCCAAAAAGGAAAATTACTTTTATTTGGCTTTGGAGTTGCCTGAACATTTTTGTGGATTAAAGCAGGGTATAAGTAAACAGATACAATGTGGCTTTCCAATGTATTGCATCATTGTTTAATTAGGCATCAGAAGACAACTTTGATTATTCTTTTTCATTTTTTCTTTTTCTTTTCTTTTTTTTTTTTTTTTTTTTTAATGAGACAGAGTCTTGCTCTGTCATCCAGGCTGGAGGGCAGTGGCACAATCTTGGCTCACTGCAACCTCCGCCTCCCGGGTTCAAGCAATCCTCCTGCCTCAGCCTCCTCAGTAGCTGGAATTAGAGGCATGTACCACCACACCCAGCTAATTTTTTTTTTTTTTGAGACAGATTTTTGTTGTGTCGCCCAGGCTGGAGGCTAGAGTGCAGTGGCGCGATCACAGCTCACTGCAACCTCTCCCTCCCGGGTTCAAGCAATTCTCTGCCTCAGAGTCTGATTAGCTGGGATTACAGGCACCCACCACCACGGCCAGCTAATTTTTTTTTTTTTTGTATTTTTAATAGATATGGGGTTTCACCATCTTGACCAGGCTGATCTTGAACTCCTGACCTCGTGATCCACCTGCCTTGGGCTCCCAAAGTGCTGGGATTACAGGCATGAGCCACCACGCCCGGCCAATTTTTTTATATTTTTAGTAGACAAGAGGTTTCACCATGTTGGTCAGGCTGGTCTCAAACTCCTGAACTCAAGTGATCTGCCTGCCTCAGCCTCCCAAAGTGCTCGGATCATAGGCATGAGCCACCGTGCCCAGCCAACTTTGATAATTTCTAAAACAATTAAGAGAATCGCTGGGCTGTGGCAACCCGGATGAAACCAAGCTCAGTTGAGTTTCTCCATTAAAGCCACATCTTACTGTGTGTTGCAAACAGGTGCTATATCATATAAAGGAAGTGCATGAAGCCCTCCTCTAGGGTTGGCAGCCCAAGTCAAGGCCCATGTCAAGTCTGGGCTAAATTTAGCCCCTACTTCCTACTACTGGCCCCTTCCAGGGGAATCTTTTGCGCAGGGGACAAGCTGTTCAGCTGCACATGATGCCTCTGCCGTGATGAATTAAGAAGCTCAAAGAAGTACCCTCCATCATGGTGACTGTTTTCATAGTTTAAGAGAATCTGGGCTGGGTGTGGTGGCTCACGCCTATAATCCCAGCACTTTGGGAGGCAAGGCGGACAGATCGCCTGAGGCCAAGAGTTTGAGAACAGCCTGGCCAACATGGCAAAACTCCATCTCTACTAAAAATACAAAATTAGCTGGCCATGGTGGCACATGCTTGTAATCCCAGCTACTCAGGAGGTTGAGGCAGGAGAATCTCCTGAGTCTGGGTGATGGAGGTGGCAGTGAGCTGAGATCATGCCACTGCACTCCAGTCTAGGTGACAGAGAGAGACTCCATCTCAAAAAAAAAATTAAAAAACAAAACAAAACAAAGAGAATCCATAGGCCTGGGGGAAGCAGGGATTATAATTTTTGACACTGGAAGATGTGACACTGATTAGCAGCTGAAGCTCAGCAGGCTCTCCACTTGTCTGATGTGAGAAAGAGTATGTCATAAGAACTAGGCAAAGCTTTTCCTATGCATCATTGTTATAAAGGCATTGTGCTGTGACCATATCAATAAAGCATAGTTAACTCCCAGAAATACATAGGAATATGCAAACACATTTGATAAGCCAAATCATCAATATCATTCTTCACAAATGAAAAACTTCACCAGTCTACCTGCATCTTTACCCTTGTTTTTTGCCACAGTTTTTCTGATGAAGGTCTGGCCTGCCTGTATCAATATGTAATGGCTTTTCTTGTGCTCTGAGAGGGATTTTTGAAATACTTCTGTGGAACTAACTTAAGCTATTGCTTAAGTTTATATCAAAATATATCAGAAAATTTAACCCTTGGTCTTATCTTTTCAAGAGCAATATGAGAGCAAAACTGAAAAGCATATAAAACATGATTTCAAAAAAAATGAAGCCTGTATTTAAAGAGCTCTACAACATAGATCTATTACCTATTAAACAGCAAACAAGGGTTTACTGAGACTCTACTATGCGTTTGGCAGTGTGCCAGGAAGTGTGGGCACTACGGAAAGGGTCTCATACTCCAGGAGACACAATCTAGCCAGTAGATAAGACTAACCCACATGAGCTAATGGTGAACATCACAAGAGAGATCCCAATTGTTAAAATGCATGGTGGAGATGACGGGCTGTAAAAACTCTTCAGGGGAGATGAGCAAGAGCTAGAGTCATCACAGAAGGTTTCACAGAAGAGACGCGCATTTAATGTGAACATGCCAGGTGGAGGGAACTGCGTGGTCAGAAAGATTAGGATAATATGTGTTGGGGGTAGAGGGGAAGGTTGGAAAGTAAAAAATGGAGTGTCCGGTTTCCAGAGTACTATAAGTGGATAAGAGGCCCATTAGGGGTCTGAAGGTTTTTGAAACAGGAAGAGACAGTAGTCTTCTTTTGGCTCTGGAGGGGAGCTGACATGAGGAAGAGCATTTCCTTGGATGCTGGCACTGATCTTGAAGGCTTTCCAGCCCCTAAGGAGATGAGGCCCAGCAGTCAGCCTAGAACAACAGGGGAGAAGCCACGTTTCACTCAATGGCAGAGCCAGCCTTGACAAGGAGCACATGCACATGCTTTGGAGGAACTGAATGGGACTAATAGAATGAGAAAGTGGAATTTCCTAGTACCCAAAGCACTTAGACCTCTAGAAGGAAGCAACTATAGATCAAAGTGGGCTGACCTGCAGCTGACCAGAGACAGCTGAGAGCTAGACAAAGGAATCATTTCTTCACTCAGTGCCTCAGCACGAGAGCTGCTTCGGCAATGACGCACAAAGAAGCACAGAGCAGGAGGGGTGATTTGGGGCCCATGTCTAAAGAGAAGAGTGGAAACTTGGTTCTAACTGGGACCTCACTGGGCCTAGCAGTAGCTACTGCATTTTAGGAATCAGAGAACCTGCTAGATGTGTAGTGTCCAATACGGTAGCCACTATCCACACATAGATGGATATTTAAATTAATAAAATTAATGTGGCACGAGCCACATTTTAAGTGCTCAATAGCTAGTGACTACCATATTAGACATTGTAGATACAGAACATTTCAATCAGCACTGAAGTCTGAAGGATTAGGTGCTGGAGCCTTCATGCCTAGTCATTGAGATCAGCCAAACCAATTGTGGTTCGGCATTAACTACCTTAGAGAAAGGAACTGTGATCACCCCTTTCTATTCCTGCTCATTCTTCAAGCTGCAGCTTCACTGTCAATTGTAAAGAGGCCTCCCCTGAATTCCAAGAGTGCTTTGTTCTTCTACTACTTCTGTTTATTGCACTGTATTTTCGTTGTGCATCTCCCTAATTTAGTCCTAATTATAGGACTAAAAATTCCTCATGGGTAGGGTCCATATCACATTCATTTTTTTTTATACCAAAGAGGAATAAAGAAGAGGAGAAGGAGGAGAAGAATAACAAGAGAAAGAACAACAACACAATAATATTTATTGAGCTCTTATTATGTCCTAAGCTTAAATACTCGATCTCATTTAGGTCTTATTATTTCCCCATTTTACAAACAATAAAACTAGTACTTAATGTGGTTAAGTAATTGGCCCAAAGTCATACAGTTGATAAATAGTGGAACTAAAAATATGTGTTCTTATAACTCTGTTCTACTGCTCCTTGCCCACTTACGAAACAGTATACTGGGGTTCCTATAAAAAATGTATTCAACTGAATCTGACTTTTAGAAATATTAGTCAATGTCAAATTAGGCAGACACCTACATTTAATGGAACAGACACAAGTTGGTCAAAAAAGGACTCGAAACTTAAGAAGTGCTATAATTGAAGTATCTACACATGGGTAAATGGAGGACTCACTATAGGCAGTGCAGGGTGAGGGAGACCATTCAGAAGAGAGAAGAGGAAATAGCATACATGGAGACATGGAGGCACAGAGGAGTGTGATGAAGGGTAATGCGAGCATCAGACGCACAGCCGAGGCACTATTGAGTGACTCCAACTTCAAACCAGCATTTATTCTTTTTACTGAGAATTTTTGTGTTTGCAGATAATATTCTGCTATGCTACCCTGTCTTATGGGATGATAAGGAATGAAATCCCCTTTTGAATTTTCAATTCAATACCACTGAGTCTTGATAATCACATACCAAGGAACAGAACTTCCATGAACAGAAATCGCTAACTTACCAGGTGATGAAAGCATAATTCATTCCAACGATGACAATGGTTATTGCATAATGCCAACAAAAGCATATGGTAAGAAACAAAATATTTTCATGATCCACCAGATCCCATGCAGGACCTCCACTGGGGGGATACAGGACAAATCCAATCTGTAATTTAGAACAAAAAGCACATATTAAAATAACCAACCACATTCCCAAAAATGGTGCATTTCAAAATGCTTGCTTCCAAGGTAAATAACTAAGTTAACTCCAATTATCTAAGATGTAATCGATAAAACATCAGGTTTTGCTACCTGTTTTAGTAATATAGAGAGTCTCTAATATGTCATATTTTCATAAAAATTTTAAAAGGACATTTAATGATCAGTTTTCAAAATATAAACAGTCATCTCGCTAGGAATGTCTGAACTTTAAGAGAATGTTTTCGGTTTCTACGTGGTGCAGTTTCATTCTGTTATTTCAAAATTGGGAGTACAAAAAGGTTTTAAAATAAATAAATGCCCACAGTTAACATTATATTTAATGCTAAAAGACTGAAATCTTTCCCCCTAATATCAGGAACGAGACGTTGATGTCTGCTTTCACACTTCTATTCAATGTTGTACTGAAAATCTAGCTAGAGCAATTAAGCTAAGATTTAGCTAGAGCAATTAAGCCATGAAGAAAAATAAAAGGCATCCACACTAGAAAGAAAGAGGCAAAAATATCTACATTCACAGATGACATGATCTTATATAGAGAAATTCCTAAAGAATCCACAAAAAAACTATTAGGGCTAATAAATGAGTTCAGCATAATAGCAGGATACAAAATCAGTATACAAAACAGTTGATTTCTACACAAAAGCAATGAACTCAAAAATAAAATTAAGAACAGTTCTGGCCAGGCGTGGTGGCTCACGCCTGTAATTCCAGCACTTTGGGAGGCCGAGGCGAGCGGATCACGAGGTCAGGAGATCCAGACCATCCTGGCTAACACAGTGAAACCCCGTCTCCACTAAAAATACAACAAAAAATTAGCCAGGCTTGGTGGCGGGCGCCTGTTGTCCCAGCTACTCGGGAGGCTGAGGCAGAGGAATGGCGTGAACCTGGGAGGCGGAGCTTGCAGTGAGCTGAGATAGAGCACTGCACTCCAGCCTGGGTGACAGAGTGAGACTCCATCTAAAAAAGAAAGAAAGAAAACAGTTCCACCTACAATAGCATTAAAAAGAATAAAACACTTTAAGAATAAATTTGATCAAGGAGGTTTAAGACTTGTACACCAAAATCTGCATAACATTGTTGAAAGAAATCAAAGAAGACCCAAATAAATAGAAAGCTATCTCATATTCATAGACTGAAAGCTTAATATTTTTGAGATGGCAATACCACCCAAAGCAATCTACAGATTCAATGCAATTGCCATCAAAATTCCAATGTTCTTCTTCTTTTTTTTTTTTTTTTTTTTGCAGAAATGGGAAAAGCTGATCCCATAATTCATATGGAATTGCAAGGGATCCAGAATAACCAAAACAACCTTAAAAAAGAAAGCTGGAGGACTTCAATACTACAGAACTACAGTAATCAAAACAACAGTGTGGTACTGGCATAGTGATAAACATTTAGATCAATGAAATAAAATTGAGAGTCCAGAAATAAACTCATATGCCTATGGTCAACTGGTTTTTGACAAGAGTGCCAAAGCCATTCAATGGGGAAAGAACAGTCTCTTCAACAAATGGTGCTGAGATAACTGGGTATTATATGCAAAAGAATGAATTTGGACCCTTACCTCATATATAAAATTAACTCATATATAAAATTAACTCAAAATGGGTTAAAGACCTAAATATGAGAGCTAAAACCACAAAATTCCTAGAAGAAAACAGGGAGAAAGCTTTATCACTTGCAATTTGTTGATTTTTTAAAGCTATGACACCAAAAGCACCATCAACCAAAGAAAAAACAGAAAAATTGGACTTCATCAAAATTAACTTTTGTGTTTCAAAGGACACTATTAAGAAAATGAAAAGACGACTCAGAATGAGAGAAAATATTTGCAAATCATATATCTGATAAGAGATTATATCAAGAATATAAAAAGAATTCCTAAAACTCAACAAAAAAAATTTTAAAGGGCAAAGGACTTCAAGAAACATTTCCCCAAAGAAAATATACGAATGATCAATAAGCACATGAATAGATTATTGATATCATTTTTTATCAGGGGAATGCAAATCAAAACCACAATGAGATACCATTTTTTATTCATTAGGCTGGCAATAATAATAATAATAACAAATATTGGTGAGGATATGGAGAAACTGAAATCCTTATATATTGCTGATGGAATATAAAATGGATAATCCTGATTATCTGGATAATGAGGATAATAAGACATTAAAATGAGGATAATAATATATCCTCAAAAAGGGCCATTGCAAGGAAATGCCTAAGCACTGTAACTGACACATAGCCAGTATATGGCAGACATTTGTAGGATTATCCATGATATTATCTTAGTTTTGAATTTCATGTAGTTTTAGAAACCTGAAATACATTCATCCATTTATCTATCTATCTAATTTTTCATTGGGATAAAATTCTGCAGCTACTGTGGTAACAGTTTTGCACTTCCTCAGGAAGTTAAATACAGAATTCCATATGACCTGTCAATTCCACTTCTACCCAAAAGAATTGAAAATAGGTATCCAAACAAAACTTGTATACGAATGTTCATAGCAGAACTATTAATAATAGTCAAAAGATGAAAACAACCCAAATATTCAAAAACTGATGATGGATAAGCAAAATGCGGTATACTCATACAATGCACTATCAATCAACCATAAAAGGAATGAAGTATAGGCAACAACATGGATGAAACTTGAAAACAATTATACTAAGTAAAAAGAAGGCAGACACAAAAGTTCACATGTATTATGATTCTGATTACATAAAATATCTAGACTATCTACTGTCTGATAGATGGTGGTACCGCCATGTGCTTGTCATTTTATCCTCACTCATGTACATAAATGTCACAATAATTCTTAGTCCTTGAAATAACCTCAAGAAGAAGACATCATCATCCTTGTATGTCATAGGAAAAGATTGGAACTCAAGGACTTCAATAACTTCCCCCAGTATTACGAAATGGCTGAATGACTACGGTAGGGATCCAAACCAGTAGTTTCCGGCTCCAAAAACTCCATGTTCCTTCTCCCACTCCATACTCTTTTCACCATACAGCCTTTCCATATGGGGCAATATGAAGGACAGTGGCCTGGATAACAAGACCAGTTTGAGTCATCTCTGCAGTTCTGATATGGTTTGAACAATCAGTACTGAGATGGAAGGTGGTTCCATGAGGACATGGCACCATATTACCATTAAAACATAAATGACAGACCGTTGACCCTTGAGCTACATCTCTAATTCCCAGACATGCTTTGTCTGGCCTGCATATTTAAAACAATAATTTGTGGCCGGGTGTGGTGGCTCATGCCGGTAATCCCAGCACTTTGGGAGGCTAAGGCAGGTGGATCACCTAAAGTCAAGAGTTTGAGACCAGCCTGGGCAACACAGTGAAACCCTATTTCTACTAAGAATACAAAAAATTAGCTAGGCCTGGTGGCACATGCCTATAATCCCAGCCCTTGGGAGACTGAGGCAGGAGAATCGCTTGAACTTGGGAGGCGGAGGCAGCAGTGAGCTGAGATCACGCCACTGCACTCCTAGCCCACAGCCTGGGCCACAGAGTGAGAATTCGTCTCAATAATAATAATAATAATAATAATAATTTGCTTTAGTTCCCAATTAGGAAACATTACACAAAAGTTTGCATTCTCAGCATTTTTTTGTAAAAATAGATCTGGCAACATTAGGCCTGTATTCCTAAATGGCAAACATGAGTGGAAGCATGTAGTCTCCATTGATGTGTCATTCAGTTTACCTTCCCGACCAAGTGGAGCGATCCAACCAAGGTTTTCTATTTTTGTCCTGGCCCAATGCATTTCATTTGTCAACCAATGTCAGAGTCATACATTTTCCCAAAATATCTTATTAGTTGAAATTAGCAAGGTACTTTACAATAATTTCCTCTTTCCCTTCTTTATATCCCGGGAGACAGAATGCATTTATTGTCTATTTTATAGATAGGAAAATTAAGTAATGCACGCCCCTGCCCCTCCATCCCCAAACAGCTGCAAAAACGTTTGCGTCACTGCCTCTGTGCCTCACCCGCCAAGGGCTGGGGCGTCTGCATTAGAACATGGATATATTCTAAAGGCAAGAGGTGTCAACATCTGTGGCAGAAGATACATCAGTCATTAAGTTAGAGGTATGAGCTCACAGTACTCAGAAACTGCAGGTGGAAAATGCCACCCTGCTGGTTGGACTGTTGCTTTGGACAGATCAGTGTTTTGCAATACCCCTTTTATATACTGCTAGGAAAGCTCACTGTGGGAGCCCAAGTGACCAGAGCCCAGGTCCCTGAAGCCCCTGGAAGAAAGCAAGAATTTCTAGGTCCTCTATGCTCACTGTTTGGAATGACAAGAGAAAAAAATCAAGTCACATGGTCAACTCCCAGTTCAAAGGCCCAGTTATCTAAACTGGGGTCTCATGCCTTCCTCTTATAACGAATTCATGGAAATTGAGAGAAAAATTCTGTGCAGAAAGGGGAATTTTAGGGAAGGTGAGTGTTAAGAGCTATGGACTAGCCCTCCAGATCCCACCCACAGTCCTGCCAACATTCCTCCAAGGCCATCCACATGAGCTGCCCACCCCAGGTTGGGAAGTGACCTGCTCCAGCTCCCAGAGGTAAGGGTCAGCATTTGTAGTGGGTTAAATTGTGTCCTCCAATATGTTGAAGTCCTAACTCCCAGTATCTCTGAACGTGATTGTATTTGGACACAGAGTCTTTGCAGATGTGATCTAGTTAAGGTGAAGTCATACTGGATTAGAGTTGGCTCTAAACCCAAAGACTGGCATCCTTATAAGAAGGCCATGTGAAGACATAGGAAAACAAAGAAATACAGGAAGAATATCTTGTGATAATAAAGGCAGAGAATGAAGTCTTGCTGCCACAAGCCAAGGAATGCCAAGGATGGCTGGCAGTTGGCTAGGAGATCAGCATGGGACTGATTCTCCCTCTGGACCCCAAGAGAAAACCAACTCTGCCAACACCTTGATTTCAGATTTCTGTTCTCCAGAAGAGTAAAAGAATAAATTTCTCTTATAAGTCACCCAATTTCTAGGGATCTGTTATTACAGCTCTAGGAAACTAATACAGCGGTTGACTTCAAATAAGCAAAAATATTACTTGCCCTAAACCTTAAGCCTAGACACATTGGTGACTCACTTCCATCTTTCATCTTCTTCTGGAAGCTTCCTCTGCTCCCCTTCCTCTGGAATTAGCAGTCCTCTCCTCAGGGCAGCATGCATTGTCAAGTTATAACATATATTTTTCCCAATAACCCCATGAGATATTATTAATATTTCCATTAATACAGAAACGGCACGGAACATATTATCTATGGTGATTCATGTAATTAGTGTGGTAAAGCTAGCATTCAGATTCAGGTTGGTCTAAACTGCGGGCCCAGGGACTTGTCACTACATGTGATATTCGTAATTGCTTTTTGGAGCTTCCAAAATAAAATCTCAAGTCACCTCCATTAGGCATCATTAATTCTACCAAACTTTTGGCTGTTTACATCAGGAGAAGAGAAACTTGGAGCCCCTCTCATCGCCAATCTCTTTAGCACCCTCAGAGCCTAATGCTGAAAGCTAAAGATTTGACCGAAGCCACTGAACAGAGTTAACTGATGTGACTACAGTGAAAGCCATAGAAACATCCCATAGTCATTCGAGGCCAAACACAAATAAATTAGGAAAGCCGAAACCCCAAACTAAAGCTAGAAACTGCCACAACTCATTAAATCCTCCTTTAAATACAGAAACTTCACTTTTATTTGTCGTCTTGTTTCCTTATATAAAATTCCAAAAAAACCTCAACCTGCAAAAAAAAGTTTTTCTTGCTACAACTTGTATGCCATTCCTGAACATCTGGTTTCGACTAGTTTAGACTAGTTTAAGCTTCATTGGTATCACATTTCAAGTGTAAATAATTATCTTCTCTAATAGGCAATAAGCCTGGGGCTGATTTCCTACAGCGAAGTCTGAATTTCCTGTTGTTATCTGATTATCCAATCATTTCTTTCAACACTAAAAGCCTAAGCAAACGTTTGATCTGCTGCCGCATCAGACCTCAAACCATTACTGCTTAGTTGGGCCTTTTTGTCATTTAAAAATGAACTTTTGTCCTTCATAAAGGCAAAACAAAGGCTGAGCTTTCATTTGGGCTCAGGATCTGTGCAGTCACGGGAGGAATCCCTGGGGGGATCAATGGAGCTGGGAGATGCAGTGGAAGCAACTGTCCAAAATAAGAAGAAGCAGGAGCACCTTCCTCATTCCCTGATTGTCCCCGCACCTGGGCGGTGAGGATGACTGGAGGGAGCTTGGGAAAGAGAAGGTGCAAAGCGAGCTTTTGAAATATTCTCCCACACAGACACACAGGGAAAACATGATTCATGGAATAAAGGGGCTTGCAGGACTTTTTTTTTTCTTTCTTTTTTAAAGTGCATGATGTGGCTAGGTTATTGAGAAAACATTTTTGACTATGATGTGGTTCAGGAAAGAAAACGTTGCTAATAAGTTGGAAGGGAAATTCCCTCTCCATTTACGTATTACCCAATCATTTATATGTGTGTGATAAAAAAGTGGCCAGTCTGAGTATTTGTTTCCTTCAGTTCACATCTCCATACTTATGGTTCCAAGAGTCTAGGTGGGTGTTTTATCTAATCCCTCTATACACAGTTCATGCACGAGTATTAACATATTAACCATACATGAAGAAGTAGTGAGAAAAAAATATGGTAATATGGTGAAAAGCAAGTCATGACATAATATTGTTAGCTTAAGACAGCGTTTTGCCGTAAACATTCATATACCACACTTATCAACTGGAAGCATAATAAATTCACCTAAGTTTCTAGACATTTTTGTTTCAGAGGAGTACAGTAGTGGGAGGATCACTATGGCTAAACCTTCATTTCCTGCCAGTGTGTGTGTTTGCATTGGTATTAAATGTTCATTTTTCTTTAAGGCTGCAGACATTATTCAGGCTGACCACCAGGAAAAAAGGAAACAGTCTAGTCTAGACATATTGGTAGATGAAAAATTTTCTAAATAATCGTGGATTTATGCCCAAAGGCATTAATCTCTTCCTTAGAAAAGCTTTTGGGGGAAATATGAAAACATTTATCTGCCAAAAGGGGCAACACTAAGCCAACCTATTCCCAGTTGAGGTATAACCCACAGCTTCCTCCTTCAGATCCTAGACAGTAGTCATTATTAACTGAACACTAATTAATTTCATTCATTCTGCTCTTATGTTTATAATTCTGTTCTCTTTGGGTTTCCCCTCTTGTCCTGCCTTTCTTTATTTGAATGTTTAGCCTTTTAACAAACTTGATCTAGTAAATATATGAGGACTCCTAAACCAAACAAAGAGGATATACTTTCCTTTTGACTACCTGGATCATTTACAACCACTGACATCGGGCCATGTTCCAAAGGAAGTCTCAACACATTACAAAGAGAACACATTCCCTGACCATAAAACAATTACATTAGAAACAAATAATAAGAAAAAAAGAATATTTTTGGAACCTTAAAAGTATACTCCTAAATAACTCATAAATTAAAGAGAGAAGCACATGGAAATAACATTCAAAATTACCCAACAGTGAAAACTACATCAACACATTGAAAAACTACAAACTAACACATCAAATTTTACGGAAGGCAGCTCTAGCAGTGTGCAGACAAATGTATTTGTTTAAATGCATTTATTTTAAACCAAGAAAGATCGAAAATAAATGAGATCAGCATCTAACTCAAAAAAAGACTAAAAAAAAAAAGAGAGAGAGAAGCAGAAAACAGCCTTACAACAAAGCAAAAAATTAACATAAGAAGAAATGGACAAATCCAGACCTGTAATATAAAACTTCAACAGACTTCTATTAGAAAGTGAGAGATCAATCAGATGAAAAACCACTAGGAATATAGAATATATAAAAAACGCAATCAAAGAGTCCCAAAAGCCTGGTTTCATCCTCCACCTTGAAAGGAGTCCTTTTACTTTCTCTTAGTTTCACTGGAGCCAAAAAAACCAACCGTCACCGTGTGCTCTGGGCCTGCGGGCTCAGCCTGACTCTTGCTCTGCATCCAGCGCACAAGTTTCTTTGGCCTCTTTTTGTTTGTTTTGCTTCATTGCAGTTAGTGTTTTCTACTTTATTGTTTAAATTTCTTTTTAACATTTTCTTTCCAATTTTCTATTTTTTCTATTTCTATTTCTATTATTTTATTTATTTTATTTTATTTTATCTGTCATTGTTATGTGTCAGGAGCAGACAAGATACACAAGACACAGCAAGATATATAAAGTGTTTTATATAACATTTTACATAATTAAATTCACCAATTATCAGCTTCTTCACATTATAGAGTATTTGTTAGTTTTTTCTATGAAGTTTTCCATTAAAATAACCATTGGATCTAGTCCCTCTTTACTGGCCTCTGCTCCAACAGCCTCTCCACTTTCTTACATGCTTAAATAGTACATCTTTTCTATCCCATTTGACGACGATGTTTCTCTCCCGCTCCCCTACCAATGCTTTTTATCACTCCTCATGTGCAATACAAATCTCTAAAATAACCTTATTATCCCAAATCTCTGCTCCCTGGTGACTAAAAATCTCTTCTAAGAAGTCTCCCCTGATTAAATCAAAATTCATCTTCCATCCTAGACTTTATTTACAGATATGTATGCATGTTGGATTATGATTCCTCAGTCTCTATAAAATGTATGTTCACTGATTGGAATTCATGCTTTCAACAACACATCAAGGTTAAAGAGTTAACAGCTTAAAATGGAAAAAGCCTGGGGCCTCGGGTCAGACGAATCCAAATTTAGATCCTAGCTCCATTATTGTATGAGACTTGGTCTCTCTGAGTCTTCCTATCTGTAAATTGGTGATGATAATGCCTGAATTCCAGGCTGTTGCAAGGAAAAAATAAAACAATGTATATATAAAAGTTTGGTACTAACCAACATATAGTTATTTCTCAACAAATAATAGTTTGCTCTCTTTTCTGCCTTCTATATATTTCTTAAGCTTATTACACTATAAGCTGCTTTAGTGTCAGGAACTGCTTCTAACTAAAAGCATCAGCTCAGAGTTCCTACATAATGGATGTCCAGGTATGTGATGAAGATGTGCACGCACCACTTCCCAGCTGCTCTGACAATTCTCCCATCAAGGCTATTGGGACAGTCAAACATTACTTCTCAGAGGCCCATGATCTTACTGCAGGCTGTATGTTGGAGGGAAGTCTCTGGGGTCTAGAGCAAACTGCCTCATCAAATAAACAGAGAAGTTACAAGCAAAGGGTCCAGGTACATTAACTAGAGACCCCAACTCACCTGAAAGAACCAGCTCCCCTGAAGCAGAATGAGGCTTGACCGCAGTAGCTCTAGAAGTACATTGTTCCGAACAAGGAACTCTAGAAAGGCAACGAGGCCTGTCAGAAAGATGACCAAAACCAGCAGCTGGTGCACAAAGATGTCCAGTATTTCCCGGCCATGAGTGTGGTTGTAGAAGATAAAAGCTGATGGGGAAAAAACAGATTGTCTTCTTCAGTGGAACCAAGGGTCACCCACTGTTTCTCTCTCGCCCTCTCTCTGTAAACAGAATTTTACGCATACACACATTTGTCCAAAAGAGCAGGTGCCCACTGATTCCCACAGTACTGCATTTTTGGAGACATTACCACTTCATTAGAATAGAATCTTTGAAATCTACCCTCTTTTTTGTTTTCCCTGACCTTTATTCTCTAACATATTGTGACATTTTCAATGAATGGATTCTCATTATCTCTGGGTGTTAACCATATTTTTGAATGAATATCTTTTCCTCTTTATCCAAACGAAAAGTATTAAGATGAAGCTGGAATCTCCGTAAGATGAAAATATTTCAAAGCATCTTCTAAGCAGGACAAAGAACAGTAAGCACGGCAAGTGCAATAATTCAGATGAGCACCCAGATGAATAAATCAAAGCATCGCCTTAAGCAATTCAGTCCACTGGAGGAGGCAAATATATATAAATCATATGGGTGGATTTTGACAGGTATAACAACAGGCTCTGGAAGCTCCCAAGAAGTAGTAAATAACTGCATTTCTTCATCCTATGGACAGGTTTCAGCTTCATCTTTTTCATGAAGACAAAGAGAAAAGATGTTCGTTCAAAATATGGTAAAACCCTGAGATAATGAGAACTGGGCTATTAGTTGTTGACATCCATCTTTTGTCCAGCCCTTGCTCCCAAGAGGTATGGGCAAAAGTTCTTATCTTCAGATGCCAGAGGTAAGGTGAGTAGGAAGTGACTGCCTCCTGATCAATTTGTGGTTATCTATTTCCATAATCAATCTATTTCTTACCTGTGTAATACATGAAAACAAATCATTAAATGCTTGTTTTCTTTTTTCTCCCTACAGTAACTGGGAGACCAGCTGAACAAAAAATATTGTTTTAATTAACTTTCCAAACTTAGGACCCCATATTTTTTATGTGACTGCATTTTTTGGACCCTACTTGTCATGAAATGGCAGAGTATTACTGTATCAATATGAAAAAGCCTATTAGTAGATAGTGAAAGCTGTTCTGCTGTGCGTGGCTGCCTCATTTCAGTGTATTCATGCTTTATTACTCTGGGATCAGTTTTCATTTGTTAAAAGTAAAAAAAAAAAAAAAAATGATAATCTTCAGAACAACCCAGAGAGGAGTAACCTTCATAAGTGGTCCTTTGAGACAGATGTGAAATGTGAACATAGCAATTGAACAATTGTGTTTGCCCAGTTCTACTAAATGAGTCAGTACAGCACGTAGATCTTTGGCACTCTGTCTAGGACACCCAAATATTTCATTATGGCCCAAATATATGGCCCTATCAATCAAGGCTGCAACAAGATGCCAGAGGTATATTAATATGAAGGGCTACACAAATGCCCACTAATAGAGAAAGGTACATGAAAATACTCATTAATACTTACCCTCCACAAATAAGGCATTTGACAACACTAACTTGGTTAAGGAAACAGGAAGTGAACTGATGGTGAAACATAATATGTTTGCCACACCAAACAGCCCAAAGAAGAAATACATGGTGAAATGATGCCAGCCTAGGAGTTGGTTCCAGTGGCCCTGTTTATAGTCATATAACATCAGATTGGGCCCTCCAGGAACAAACTGCTCCCCAGCCATGCCTGCAAAGAAACATATCACAGTTTTAGCAACTCTGCTTTACCTAGAATTCAAGAAGATGCAGGAGGATTAGCCCATTGCTTATTCCAATCTAATGTTCTCTTGTGACATTGATTCTTCTCTCTGAGGTGTTCCCTAACAGCTGAGTACTGGCACTTAAGGCTTGTTTTGGAGGTTCAGATGCTGGTTCAAATAAATAGTTTTAGTCAAAGATAGCCAATTGAATTAAACAGCTATTTCAGATCTTCAATGCCAATGATCTTAGTTCCACTGCCCATTCCAATCTAATGACTAAGATACATCCTGAATTATTTGGAGATTTGAATTTGGGAGACAACTCCTATGGAGATTGATTATTTCCTTCTTAAATACTACATCTTTCAGTAGCTGCCATAAAGTAGGGGGTTGTGCTTGGTACCAGATAAAAATGCTAAAGAGTTCAGCTTTTCTTGAATTATGATAACTGAGAAAGCCCAGACAGGACTGAGCACAGTGGCTCACACCTGTAATCCCAACACTTCGGGAGGCCGAGGCAGGCAGATCACTGGAGGTCAGGAGTTCGCACCCAGCCTGGCCAACATGGTGAAACCCCATCTCTACTAAACATACAAAAATTAGCCGGGTGTGGTGGCAGGCGCTTGTAATCCTACCTACTTGAGAGCTGAGGCACAATTGCTTGAACCCAAGAGGCAGAGGTTACAGTGAGCCAAGATAATGCCACTGCACTCCAGCCTGGCTGATAGACCAAGACTCCATCTCAAAAAAAAAGGAAAAAAGAAGCCCAGACAGATACAGCAGATGCAAACAGTTAAACTTTCTTACAGATACTGCCTTATTTGTTAATCTATAGAATTTGGCAAGGAAATTTCCCTCTTTGGAAATGTTACTGTGTAACTTGATGCCATAGCAAAGACCTGTTGCCATGAATAAAGCATGAAGAAATCTAATGGGAAAATCAGAAAATTTATCTTTTATAACAGAGAGGCTAGAGTGGAACTCTCAAGAACACAGAACATTTTCATTGAATCTTGAGATGGAAGATTCAGTGGAAAGGCCTTAGAAGTCATCTGGCCTAATCTCTTTCTCCAACTTAGGAATCAAGAAAAAAAGATGTGTGCAGAAAGCTAAAGTCTTCTACAGCCTATCAGAAATGATGTATTACTGAAGCTTTTCCATAATAACTTGATTAATTTCACATCATTTGCAAAATGGTTTTTGATAGGGTTTGTTCTTTCAGAGATCAGAACAATTGATATAAAATTATGTTAGGGCCGGGCGCGGTGGCTCAAGCCTGTAATCCCAGCACTTTGGGAGGCCGAGACGGGTGGATCACGAGGTCAGGAGATCGAGACCATCCTGGCGAACATGGTGAAACCCCGTCTCTACTAAAAAATACAAAAAAACTAGCCGGGCGAGGTGGCGGCGCCTGTAGTCCCAGCTACTCGGGAGGCTGAGGCAGGAGAATGGCGTGAACCCGGGAGGCGGAGCTTGCAGTGAGCTGAGATCTGGCCACTGCAGTCCAGCCCGGGAGACAGAGCAAGACTCCGTCTCAAAAAAAAAAAAAAAAAAAAAATTATTTCAGAAGCTCCAACCAATTCTTTAAAAGAAACTCACTTTGACTGGGTAGGCAAGTTAACTACTATGACTAATTCATTAAGAAATAGCTTTTTGTATAAGTGTAAATTATTACCTTCCCAATGAATTGTATCTGATAGAAATTACAATTAGAATATGTGTTGAGATATTTTTTAATAAAAATTCCTTTTAGCAATTTCATGATTTTATATTGTTTCATATTTTACATATGAAAACACCCACAAGGTAAAAACAGAAAACAGATGGTCCACTCACCAGTTAAAGCCATGCCAACTATTGTAATTCCCTCCAAAATTTCCAATCGACAGAATAATGTTTTGGAACCAAGGTAGCAGGTTCGCTTTTGCTTTTTGAAGATATACTTCAGAGTACTCATTGTACACCACCAAAGACCCATAATAAAAAAGAAGGTTCCAGGGAGGGCATGACCTCTGAAATTCCCCATGATCTACAAATATAAGAATACACAGAAAATAAAAGACATTTTATTGCCAGAATCTGGACAAAACATCACTTGTTTCCATAAAGTACACTGTCTTCTGATTATGGATATATAGCACTGAGGATGATTCTGAGGATCCTACATTACTGTGCATAGTAGTAAATGCCACTACAGTATCAATAATATCAATAAAAACAAAATAAAAACTCACATTTGTTGAATACTTACCATGTACTCTGCACTGTGTCAAGTGTTTTATGTTCAGTCTTCAACCTAATTTATGCAGCATACCCCTGAATGAAGCACTGTTACCCCTTTTTCTTTAGGGATACTCATTTAGAGAAGTTAGACTACTTGCCCAAATCTCACAAACATTAAGCAAAAGTTCCATTATTTTTAACACAGAAGTCAAAAGAATTTCTTTGCATCAACAGTATATACTTCTCCATACAGTGGCCCTTCAAGCCCCTCTGAAGGAAAGTGATATGAAACTTTTATCTTTATGTTTAAAACTTGAAATGATGTGAAATTGCCTACACATTTTTTTAGGTTGATAATTTCAAAATATCAAGCATTAAGTGTATGGAAAAAACAATTAGTGTTCATCAAATATCTGTGTGCTGCTCCCACTCTTTCCCAGCCTCTCCCTCCAGTTAGATTGGACCCATGTTTTTAGTTCTGGCTACTACACTGTAAGCTGAACTTGCACATGTCACTTTCCAAGCTGGGTCAGTTAGCAGTCTACATGACTCCTTTACCTCTCTCTTCTCCTGCCTGGGCAACCTTGGTGTAGCATACCTGCAACCCAGAAGGTGATCAACCAGCCTACTTCAGATTTTGTAAGAAACAATCCCTTATTGTGCTAAGGCAATGAAACTTTGAGATTTATTGTTAAAACACCTTAGCCCCACCTAGCCAGATATCAAGCCAAATCAAATTGCAAATTTTGTTTACATTATTGCCACATGGTGGAGTCGCTTCTGGTTAATAAACAGAAATACCCAGCCAGGCTAGGTGGCTCACACCTATAATCCCAGCACTTTGGGAGGCTAAGGCGGGCAGATCACAAGGTCAGGAGATTGAGACCATCCTGGCTAAAACGGTGAAACCCCGCCTCTACAAAAAAATACAAAAAATTAGCCAGGCATGGGGGCGGGTGCCTGTAGTCCCAGCTACATAGGAGGCTGAGGCAGGAGAATGGCGTGAACCCAGGAGGCGGAGTTTGCAGTGAGCCGAGATCGCACCACTGCACTCCAGCCTGGGCGATAGAGCAAGACTCCATCTCAAAAATAAATAGATAAATAAAATAAAAAATAAATAAAGACAGAAATACCCTCCATTTTTGGTCACTGCTATTAAAAAAAAAAAAACAGGCCGGGCGAGGTGGCTCAAGCCTGTAATCCCAGCACTTTGGGAGGCCGAGACGGGCGGATCACGAGGTCAGGAGATCGAGACCATCCTGGCTAACACAGTGAAACCCCGTCTCTACTAAAAATACAAAAACTTAGCCGGGCGAGGTGGCAGGCGCCTGTAGTCCCAGCTACTCGGGAGGCTGAGGCAGGAGAATGGCGTGAACCCGGGAGGCGGAGCTTGCAGTGAGCTGAGATCCGGCCACTGCACTCCAGCCTGGGTGACAGAGCGAGACTCCGTCTCAAAAAAAAAAAAAAAAAACAGTCTTGAATTATGTGAGTTTTTAATTATGTGAGTAGCCCTTTGTTGACACATATCATAGCATCAACAGAATAATGAAAAGAGAGTCCAGAATCACCCTCGTGGATCTGACACTAGGCCAGATCAAAGTAAACTCATGAAAGGAGGTCTCAGGATTTCCCCTGGCCCAGCAGACTTTATCTCTAGGTGATAATGGGCTTCTCAGTTCAGGACAGACCCCTTTGGGTTACTTCCACCCCTCTCATACAACTGTGAAACTCGGGGAAACTTGGAAGCTAACCCAAACACTAAAAGTCTCTTATATCTCAGCGGCGACCCCAGGCAGTCATTTCAGGACACCCTGGAATCGTCCAAACCATCCAAGAGTCTCAGGCTCAATATAGCACATAGTGCTGTGTGCAGGTCCTTGTCCTAACTATGCCTGTAATGGCATGTTTGGGTCATGTTTCCTAACCTTTCTAAGCCTTGGTTCTTAATGAATAAAAGAAGGAGGAAGGCCTAGATGAAACCTGGAGTTCTTTCCTGCCCTAACAGTCTCTGATTTATTATCCTAACCACCACCTTTATCACAGTGTTGCTGAGTTCTGTTTCGGTTTAGGCAGTCATATGGGATTGAGAAAACTTCTATATGGGATTGAAAAGCATATACAGACTGCAAATTTTTTGAACTTTTCTGAAAATGAGTTGTATTTGGCTTAAGAAGTCTTAAACATTTTATATTTCTTAGTACAGGAAGCCCACTTGCAGGGATTTATCTGGAAAATATAAATGGAAATACAGGCACTAGGCGAATGTTAAATAAATCGCGCAGCCACTGAAAATAAGGTTTTCAAATAACTTAAATGATAGGGGATATATTTCGTTAAAAAATAGGATTAAAAATTAGGGGAAGGGGCTTTGATTTTGGATTATCTAAGTCCAAATACCAACTTTATAATTTGTTAGTTACATAACTTTGGGAAAGTTACTTAACCCCTCAGTGCTACAGTTTTCTCTTCTGTAAAATGGGACAAATAACAGTACCTACATCATAAATTTGAAATTAATTACTCCAAAGCAAATAACCCATGGTACTGTTAAATAAGATCATGCTATTTTCAACCTACCTCTAACTACTAGAGTGAAACAAAAGTAAAACCAAATGCACGATTTTACTTAGATACTAAGATGGATATAGAAAATCAAGAAACATTGATACAATTCATTTGGCAATCACTGTTGTACCGCCCAAGACATTTCTCTTGCTGTTGTCTTAGAGGGTTACTGGGATAATCTGTGGTTACTGAACTCCTTGACTGCAATTAGAGAATAAACTCCTTGAAAGCAGAGGCCATATATCCATTCTTCTTTCAATTCCCCACTGGACTATCCACTGCCTTACATACTATGAGGTTCTGAATTTACAAGGAGTTACTAAGCTCTTCTTATAACACAAGATTATATATTTGCAAAACATCTCTACTCTGATGTCTCAAAAGCCTCTCACACTCAACATACCCAACACTGAACTAATCATCTTATCAACCCATCTACTGCCAGAAAATAGTTTTAGTTACCCTAAAAGAATCCCTGGTTACCTAGTTTGGTTAACAACACTGCCAATTCACCCCTTTGCCCAAACCCAAATTATGAGCATCATCCTTAGAGTTTGGCTCTTTCCTTAAAAAACAATTGGTAATTGAGATTTATCACCTCTGCTGCCTAACATTGATTCCCTCTAGGGGAAAGGGAAGAGGCCCCTTCAATTTCACCTGCTTGGAGAAATCCTTCCTGATGGCCCAAATAGGGGAGGGTCCCTATTACACCCTTTCAAGGCACCCAGTCCTCACATTAGTGACTTCTTTGCATGATTAGTTATTGAAGGTCTGTCCTCCTCAATAGCCTCTATGACCATTACCATAGTATGAAAGCCTGTGCAACTGACTATGGGGGCCCCTCAGAGTGTAGGTGCCTGGGCCTTCTCTCTTTTTTTTTTTTTTTTTAGGCTCCTAGTATACTAAAAAAGAAAGAAAATGCCAAAACAGAGTCACAAGAAATTTGGTTGCTTTTAAATATTTAGAATTACCTAGTAAATACTTTTAATATACAAGCAAACATATTGCCTATGTCATAGATACAATGAAATTTTAAAAAGCAGGCCTTCCCTGAATGTACAGCTCTAGGCCAAATAGCCCTCTTGACCCACCCCCATGACAAGCTAAGAGGCTCCTGCTGCCTGCAAAGCTGAGAGGATCAATATATCTCAGCACACCCATCAGGATGTAATAAGGAGGTAATGGGGAATAGTGGAGGGTTTGTGAAGAAGAATATGAGCTGATCAAAGAAGGGAAAGAAAGGAGTCCTCCTTCCTACTTCAGTTATACAACTCCTGTGTCTTCAGCCTTTCAATCTGAAACAATCTGATTGTTCCAATCTTTCTGTTTAAAGATCCAGACAAAATGAAGTCAAAGTATAAGGGTTGTTATATTTGCCTGGCTAAGGAACTCAACAGATGCAGTTACTCCTGGCAATAAAAACATAATTCATCTTACTTCACTTTCACTGTGAAGGAAAACATTGTCCATATCCTCAAACATCACTTCACTCTTATCTCCTAGAAACCATTATCTGTAAATCTCTTTTGTTCCCTGCTTTACTGTTGCCTTCAGGTACAACTTATTCCTTGTAAAAGCCAAGTAAAGTAGCACAGAGTTTGATCAGATTTAAACACAAAAGCAGACCTTCTCCTTTGAAGGAGAGCACGGGGCTTTCCTTGGCCACAAAAGAGAAGATGCAAACAGCCAGCAGAAACCCCCAGGAAAATCCCACGGCAGGAAACATGAAGGCCCTTCCTCCGGACCTTCCTACCTGATCCCACCACTTACAACCTCCTAAGAAATGCAGTTCGGCTGGGCGCGGTGGCTCACGCCTGTAATCCCAGCACTTTGGGAGGGCGAGGCGTACGGATCACGAGGTCAGGAGATCAAGACCATCCTGGCTAACACAGTGAAACCCCGTCTCTACTAAAAATACAAAAAAAGTCTCCAGGCGTGGTGGCGGCGCCTGTAGTCCCAGCTACTCGGGAGGCTGAGGCAGGAGCCGAGATCAGGCCACTGCACTCCAGCCTGGGGGACAGAGTGAGGCTCCATCTCAAGAAAGAAAATAAAATAAAATAAAAGAGAAAAGCAGTTCACCCAGGCCTAAAAAAGCGAACTGCAAGATTTCATCATTGGCTTCTGTTAGGCAGGAATCTAGACCCAACATGGCGGTATCACGGGCATGGCAGGCCCTTTGTTAGGTCTTCCCGCCCTTCACTTCCTGCTAAGACTCTCAGCGGGCAGAAAAAGCCCGCGCCT